AAGGAAATTCCCAGAATATTCTAGATAGAATGCGTTATTCAGAGCTGGATAGATAGGTCCCTTGAGACACCGAAGGTAGAGGGCAGCCAACTCTATTTCAGGCTTCCTCCTCTGTGCCTGTCAGAGCTGCTGAAGGCATGAATGATGTGGCCTGTGAAAATTCTCCTGCCCAGCAAGAGTCCCAGGAACCCAGTGCCAATTTTCAAATCTTGAGAAGGAGAAGAAACTGTCCTGATCCCATACTAGAAGAAAGATCCTCTAAAGAGAACTAGGCCAAGCTCACATTTGGTGTTAGTGACTCTGGCCTGATCCTTCCACATTGTGGGTGGCAAAACCAGGGTACAGAAAGGATGGTGTCTTGTCCATGAGTTCAAACAAGCTGAGATGTCAGATGTCCCAGTTAAGGTTTTCTACAGCTTGTGCTCAGCAGGTAAAAGCGCTTGCCACACAAGTATGACCACCTGAGTTCAATGCCCAGAACCCACTATGGAAGGAGGGAACTGACTCCCCAAAGTTGTCCTCTGATCTACACACACACTCACACACACACACACACACACACACACACACACACACACACTAAATAACTAAATAAATAACCCAAAGAAGAAAACACGATTAAAAAGCAAACAAGAAGTTACAACTCTTAACCAAGATGGCAACTATGCCTTTAATCCCAGCACTCAGGAGGCTGAAGAAGAATCACAAGTTGGAGGCCAGCGTGAGCTACATAGGGATGTCAAGTCTCAAAAGCAAAAGCAAAACAACAACAAAAGAGACCCTGAAGCCAAGTAAAGTGGCTCATGGCTATAATCCAGAACTTTGATGGTGGAGGCCATAGGATCAGGAGTTCAAGGCCACATAGAAAGTTTGAGGCCATGCTGGGCTGCATAGCAAGTCTTGTCCTTAAAAAAAAAAAAGAATTTTTGTGCCAGGCATATTGGCATGTGACTTTACTCCCAGAACTCAGGCAGCAGAAGCAGCGAGTTTGAGGCCAGCCTGGTCTACACAGTAAATTCCAGCCCAGCTAGGGCTACACAATGAGACCCTATCTTAAGTAGTACTAGGGTCAGTCCTTGATACCAGGAATAAAGTGACAAGAATTTCATGCCATCTGATTGGACAATTCAGAGTGAGGTGCTAATGCACAGTCTGTAGAATTGGAATGAGGCTTAAATGAGAAGCAGAACAGCAAAAAGAAACTCTGTCTCAGTTTACCTATCCCTACAATGGGATGCATCATGGGAATTGAACGGATTGGTTCTGTAGGTCCCTCAGAGTGATATCTGACCAGCAAATGATAAGGAAGCAGCTGTTAGGGTACCATGATTGGTTCTGTAAGTCCCTCAGAGTGAAGGGAAATGCTGAGGAAGTCGCTGTTAGAATACCATGAGGAGTACACATGCTCACTCTGACTTGTCACTCCTCTTTGCTCTCAGGTCCAAAGGATCACATTTTAGTTTTAGGGTTTTGGTGATGGTGTTTTGAGACAAAGTTGTACTCTATAACCCAGACAGGGTTGAAATTCATGATAACTCTCCTGCCTCAACCTTCCCAATCCTGGGATTACAGGCTAATTCTTTTTTTTTTTTTTTGTTTTTTACGAGACAGGGTTTCTCTGTATTGTTTTGGAGGCTGTGGGTCCAGCCCGGCCTCGAACTCACAGCGATCCACCTGCCTCTGCCTCCCGAGTGCTGGGATTAAAGGCATGCACCACCACCGCCTGGCCAGGCTAATTCTTACACTTTATAATTGCTTGTATTTTCCCCCCACTCAATTCTAAGGCTTATGAGAGCAATAACCTTTATTTCTCTGCTCTTTTTGCACAAAGTTTTTTGTTATTTAATTTTTATTAATGAGCATGAGTGTTTTGCCTGCTTATATGTCTGTGCACCATATTCTGTCTGGTGCTTGTGGAGGTCAAAACAGGTTGTCAGATCCTCCTGGGCCTGGAGTTATAAAGTTGTTAGCTGCCATATGAGTGTTAGGAACTGAACTTAAGTCCTCTGTAAGAACCATCAACATGGCTAGAGAGATGGTTCAGCATTTAAGAGCACTGGCTGCTCTTCCAGAAGTCTTGAGTTCAATTCCCAGCCACCACACAGTGGTTCACAAGCATCTGTAATGAGATCTGGTGCCCTCTTCTGCTGTGCAGGCATGCATGCAGACAGAGCTCTCATACATAAAAAAAAAAAAAAAAGAACTGCCAGCATTCTTACCCCTGGAGCCAACTCTTAGCCCCTTGTACATGTGTTTTTGTTTTGTTTTGTTTTGTTTTGTCATGAGCTAATTGTTCACAAGACTCCACAAAGAACACATTGTCATTACCCCACCTCTCTGGTGACAAAATACTAACCCAACCCATGGAGTACCCACTTCATACTTTGACTCTCAGAGGTCAAGTGATACTACAAGCAATCGCTCAAGGTCCTTCTGCCTCCCTCTTTCCTCAAACTCCCCTGGAACTTATTCTTACTGCGCCAGCTAGAAGTCACAGAGACAAGCTCAGGCTGACAATATGTGGTAGCATGATCAACAAACACATAGCCCTTTGGAAGAATCTGTCCCTGGGCCTGCAGAAGGGGTGTGCCTCAGGACTGACATATGAAGAGCAGTCTCTTTCCTGAATAGTCAAAGTAGTTAATAAGTAGTCAATAATCTCTGTGCAATTCCTGTAAGGTTATCCAAGCCCAGAAGAGCAGCTTCACTCAGGGAACACGGCAAAAACAGGACTCTTAGCCCCACCGGACCTATCCATCCAGATCGTCTGCGTAGCATCCAGCAGTTTGTGCATTAATGAGCTCTGGAGGGAGGGATTTGGACACCCCATATAATTAAGAACCAAGTCCTTCAGGACTCTGGCTCCAGGAGAGCCTACAGAGACGTTTTTTATTGTTTTTGTTTCTATGTTGTGATTTATTTTTAAGAGTCTTGCTGTTTCAATGGCTGGCCTGGGATTCATCATGTTGCCCAGTCTAGCCTGGAACTCATAATTCTGCTTCTGTCTCCTGAATGCAGTCTGGTCCTACTACCCTCCCACCAGTTCCCAGGAGCTCTCCATTCCTGTAGCTTCCAGTACCCACCACATCTGATCTTCCTTCAGGCCTGCAGCAATTTGAAAATCTGAGCTTGCATGAAGCCTGTCCTTAGGACCCAGGCTGGAGACTTAAAGGGATTCCTGGTTCTGAAGGCCCCCATGTGTCTGTGCAGCTGTTGGCATTCAGCAGGAAATAGTCAGTTTCTGGGTGTGGCATGCGAGGTGTGTGCAGACAGACAGGCTCCATCCTTCCAATCCTTCCATCTCTTGCTTCCTCTCATCTCCAGACAGACACAGCTCCAGGCAATCTGATGCCCCTTTCTGGCCTCCATGAGTCTACACACACACACACACACACACACACACACACACACACACACACACACACACACACACACACACACACACACAGTTCCCTCTAATGTCTGTTTCTGTTGGGACCATTCGAGTAGGACCTAAGTGACTCTAGCCCCTCCTCTGTAACCTTCTGAAGACCTTCTAACCTTCTAGACTTAGCCCTGCTTTCTCTGTTAAGCTTCAAGGAGTGGAGAGGGTCATTCTAGCCCACAAATGTCTGCAATATCAACTTTCTAATGTTTTTATTGTCATATCATACATAACTGATTTCATTGTATTCCATTCCTGTGTATATAACATATTTTAATCATGTTCACTCTCATTAGCCTTTCTTGTCCTCCTGTCCTAAGGACCCCTTTCCTCTTCCCAACTGGTGTGTGTGCCCCGATTAGGATTACTTATGGAAGGAAATGTCTCCACTCCAAGAACTCCCAGCTTGCCTGCAGCCCCTCAGGAGGGAGAAGTGGCTCTCCGTTCATCCCTCTTCCCCTCCTTCCAGACAAGATAACGTCTCTTTCTCCCATCTTTCCTTTCTGTGTGCAGGGTAGAATCCAAGGCCCTGGCATGCAAGCGAGGACCCCACTGCCAAGCTGCACTCTGAGTCCCTGCCTCGGGTTCTTTTACATACAGACAAGCCATTTCATACCTGTCCAGTAAGGTGAGTGCTTCTGACCCTTCTTTATCAACTGAGACACCAAAGCACTTGTCAAAAAGACACCCTCTGGCCTTAGTTCTGACCCCAGGTTTCATTTCTGCTTCCTCTGTTAATAACGGACATTACTGGGGCTGGAGAGATGGCTCAACAGTTAAGAGCACTGGCTGCTCTTCCTGTTCTTCCAGAGGACCCAGATTCAACTCCCAGCACCCACATGGCAGCTCACAACTGTCTGTAACTCCAGCTCCAGGGGATCTAGAATCCTCACACAGCCATGCAGGCAGAACACCAATGCACATAAAATATTTTTTAAAAAATGGACTTTACTGGCCAGAAGTGACAGTATATGCCTTGAATCCTGGAACTGTGCAGGTGAAGACTGGAGAATCATGAGTTCAAGACCAGTCTTGGCTACAATGAGACTCCAGCTTAAAAGGGGGCTCTTAACTGGGGGTTTAATATTCTTGTGCCTCAGGCATGTATTAATTCTTTATTTTCCTTGTTTAAAAAAAAGGAAGGAAAGGAAAAAGAGAGAGAAGAAGAAGAAAGAAAAAAGAGAAGGAGGGAAAAGGGAGGGCCTGGAGATGTCTGCAGTTAAAAACACTGGCTGCTTTTCTAGAAGACTCAACATTCAATTCCCGGCACTCACATGGCCACTCTCAACTGTCTAACTCCAGTTCCAGAGAATCCAACCGCCTTTTCTGGCTTCCTCACGCACCAGGCATGCTTGTGGTATACAACAGACATACAGGCAAAGCACCCTACACATAAGTTTTTGAAAACTTAAAAAACAAAAATAAAATGACAGCCAGCCATGATGGCATACATATGTAATTCTAGCATTCAAGTAAGGCAGGAGAATCACCAGTGAAGGCCAGCCTGGACCAGATAGCATGATCCTGCCTCAACAGAAGAAAAGAAATACAATAATGGACACCCACACACATATAATTGGGTGCTTTGCAGGTATAGTGTGATTTTGGTAGTTGCCTCTTCTTTCTTTGGAAACCAGGGACTAAATTACATGCCTCAGTATCCCTAGGCCAATCAGATATTGAATTCACAGTAGTGCCCTCTCTCCACTTTTAGTTAAATAATGAAGTGTCATCCACTGCCCCCCCCATGCCATCTGCACCATCTGGCCAGCTGCTTCCAGGAAGCACTTGGGAGTGTGGCTCCAGGGAAAACACTTCTCTAGTGTTTGCAAGGCCGTGGGTTCCAGTGCACAGAAGAAGAAGTCTCAGATGAGCATGAGTGGGGATGTTGGAGATGCAAATTAGACACCGGAAACAGGACTGGGGGAGGGGAAGGGGCACAAGGGCATGGGCAGGATCACCACCCGGGAAGGGGCGGGGTGAGCTTACTTCTTGAAGTTTGGTGGGGGCAGAATATTGCCTTGGGCATCGAGCGGAGGGGCCCTCAGTTCACTCCTCAACTTGAGTTTCTCCACCTCCTTCAGCTCTCTCACTGCTCTCACCATCACTTGCTTCTTCCTGTTATTGTCCTTGAAGATGGGGGTAGCACTGATGAAGGTCAGGAAGCTGTGTGGACCCATCCAGGAGGGCGGAGGGATGGCAGGTTGTGCAACCGGGAGACGGTGGGCATTGAAATGAGTCAAGCAGCGCCAGACGTTGCTGTCATAGGCTATGTCTGGCCTGGTGGGGAAGGTGGCAGGCAAGCGTCCCACATCGAGCCATGTGTGAAAGCCCCAGGTGTGCTGGGCTGCATCCTTCCAAGGATAGAGTACCTGGTGACGAACCTTGGACTTGCAATCTGTGTGTGGTGGCCTCTTCAGAGCCAACTTGTGGTAGGCTTGCTGGGTGAAGCCTGGCAAGTCTGCGACCTCTTTGGGGAGGAGGAACTCACGCTGGGTCCAAGTCTGGTAGGTGGGGAAGGGTTCTCTGGCATGGACCATCTAGGAAGACACAAAAGGGAGTCTAGAATGGCTGTGCTAGCAGAGGGCCAGGTGCTGAAGACATGCTCTGCTCTCCTTCCTGGGCACAAGCTGCCAGCCTCCAACCCAGGACTCATCCCCATGTAGATGGCCTCCACAAGTAGACATTCCTCCATTCCCACTGTCATCGGGGTGTGTGTGTGTGTGTGTGTGTGTGTGTGTGTGTGTGTGTACAGTCATGTAGGTGCAGGTGAACATGTGTGTGTGTGTGAAGTCAGGAGACAACCTTGGTTATTGTTCATCTTGTTTTGGTTTTTGAGATGGTATCTCTCACTGGTCTAGGAATTATTGGTCTGGCTACACTACACTGTCTGTCCACCAGCCATCAAGCCTCAAGAATCCACCTCTCTCCACCATAACCCCCATCGTCAATGCTGAAGCCTTTGGAGTCAACAGAAGCTCAGGTTCAAGGACCACCACAGGCTGCAGTGTAACCATTCTTGGAGGGCAACAAGGTAGTTTGGTTCAGCACAACTCAGTAGCTGATGTTGGTTCAAACTTTGGGAGTCTGACCCCAAGTAGTTTATTTTAGGCAGATGTAAGCACAGCACAATTTGATGGGAATTTTCCTGGTGATAATTGACTCACGCCCACGAGCATAACAAAGCTTAAGACACCACTACATCAAAACGCTCGGTAAAGTACAGGTGACATCCTCCATAAAGATGGGTTCCATAGATTAATTGAGAAAAACAAGCACATAAGAATCTTTGGGAGGATCTGCTGTGGTCTCAGTCACACAGATAACACAAAGGTCACCAGGCTATATACCAGCCTTCTGGGCAGAGAACAGGTTATACGGTTCTCCCTTTGAAGAGACAAGCCGGAGTGTTTAACATTTCTGGTTTTCTTGGTGCTTATCTGTGAGCACAAGGACCTCAGAGCCTCCTTCACCTTTCACCTAGAATCTCTACTTGTTCCTCTCTTGTCCTGCCGAGGAATGGCTGCCTTCCTCAGGTCTGACTCTCCAGCACTATCTGCGACCAAATTCTGTAGGGAGAGGTACAAGCAGGACTACAACTGTTGCATAGTTGTACTACAACCCCTGTGTCTGGTGTTGGTCCAGATTATCAAATAGTTCACAGAGGACATGCCACTGAGGTTATTGTTTGGCCTAATAGGTTCTCTATCCTCTAACCAACCCCAGTGTTACTGTGAATTTGTTCTGAGAGTAGAGACTTTTTTTTGTATGTGTGATGGGGATTGAACATAGGACCTCACTCTTGCTAGGCAAGTGTTCTACCACGGAGCTATATTCCCAACCTGCAATTCCTTACCTACTTACCTACATTTTTTTTTTTTTTTTGGTTTTTCGAGACAGAGTTTCTCTGTGGCTTTGGAGGCTGTCCTGGAACTAGCTCTTGTAGACCAGACCAGCCTCGAACTCACAGAGATCCGCCTGCCTCTGCCTCCCAAGTGCTGGGATTAAAGGTGCGCGCCACCAACGCCCGGCCCCCCCTTACCTACATTTCTTACCATACTTCTTCCTCACCCCAACACACACACACACACACACACACACACACACACACACACACTCACTCACTCACTCACTCACACACACACCTCAACACTCCATATTCGAATCTTTTTTCTTTCTTGTTTTTTTGAGACAGGGTTTCTCTGTGTAACAGTCCTGGTTGTCCTGGAACTCACTTTGTAGACCAGGCTGGCCTCATAATGATATCACCTGCTTCTGGGCTCTCTGAGGGTGGGATTAAAGAATGTGCCACCACAGCCCGGCTATCCTCCTTCTAATCTTAGGAGTTGGGGGCCCCACCCCCTCTCCGTCCCAGTCCTCCCACATTACTATGAGTCCCCCAAGGAAGACACAGAACAGTTCAGAGCTTCAGTAATGTCTCCAGAAGCCTGATACAGAGGTGGTACAGGGCTGGAGGATGGTCGGAAGGTTATTCTCCAGAAGCTAGAGTCTTCAGCCTCCTCAGGCTTCTGAAGAAGGCTAGGCTGCCTTCCCTGAGGCCCACTTTGGCTCCTCCCATCTGGAGGCACTTTTAGAAGTACCCAGGGTTCTCTTCCTCTCCCCCTCCGGTGTTTTGGCAGGTTTTGCCTTGGATAGGTAGTAGAGGGGCTTGACAACCCGGTTCTCTATCAGGGCCTGGTAGTCCTTCACGAGGTCTTTGCTCAGGGGCACACTGGGCAGCCGAGCCAGTTTCAGGACCTTCTCCTGGTAGTGAGGCTGAAGATTAGGGCAGGGCCAGTTCTTGGTGAAATTATTGGGAAGTGGGTTGGGTAGGATCTGGGGGCCCCAAGGCTCCAGCCTTCCACCAGCAGATATGTGCTGGAACCTGTTGGGAAAGAGGTTCAGAGACAGCACAGTCAAGGGGTGGTTCCAGGCATGGTAGGGAGAGGAGGGAAAGACAGGTGACTATTCCCATCAGCTGTTTGGGGATCAGGCTACATACCAAATGGCCTGCATTTAACTGTGTTGTGGCATTATGTGAGCCATACTGTCTAGCTGTACACCTTCATCCTTTAAAAACATGATTTTTAAAAAAATTTATGTGTATGAGTGTCTGGCCTGAATGTTGGCATGTATACCGCTTGTTAGCCTGGTGTTGGTGGAAGTTAGAAGAGGGTGTAAGATTCCCTTAGGCTAGAGTTACAATGGTGAGTTGCCATGTGGGTGCTGGGAATTGAATTCTGGTCCTCTGGAAGAGCAGCCAGTGCTCTTAACTGCTGAGCCATCTTCCCAGCCCCTCACCTAGATTCCTCTCATACATCTGTGTGGTGCTATGGAGGGAACCCAGGGCCTTGCACAGCCTTGGCAAGCGCTCCACCACTGAGCTCCACCCCAATCCAGTTATCCACTCTGCTTCCTTCTTCTTCTCTTCCATCTCAGTGTGTAGTCCATGCTGGTCTCCTTCTTGAGATCCTCTTGTCTCCTCCCCCAGAGTGCTAGGACCACGGGCTTCTACCACCACGCCTGACTCTATTACAGCGTTTTATCTAAATTCCAGCCATTCTTCTCCTCTCTTTTCTCCTAATGCACTGCAGATGGGAAGACCGCTGAAGTCAGCGTAGTGTAGCAGCAGGCGACTTCCTCTTCTGTGTTGGCCTGTAGTATTAAATTGAACAGGAGCAAATTGACTTAAAAACAAGCCAACAGCATGGTTGGATAGTAACAGATTTTCTGTGCTTCAATGGGCTTTGTGCCTGGTTTGCTGCTTTTGGTTTGCTTGAGGTTCTCAGCTGTAATTGCATGTGAGACTCACCCCAGAAACTTGGTTTTGTTGTTCATTTGTTGTTATTATTATTATATTACTATTATTAGTGCAGAGATGGAAACTTGAGTCTCTTGCATGGTAAATAAGAAGCTATATCCTGCCAGGTGTTGGTGGTGCATGCCTTTAATTCCAGCTCTCCAGAGGCAGAGGCAGGAGGATCTTTGTGAGTTTGAGGCCAGCCTGGTCTACAGAGAGAGTTCTGGAACAGCCAGGACTGTTACACAGGAAAACCTTGTCTTGAAAAAACAAAAACAAAATACAAAACAAAAAGAAGAAGAAGTTATATTCCTGAGCCATGTCCCCACCCCTGTGATATTTTGAAAAATTCCCCAGGGATGTAGCCTAGTAGTAGAAACCTTGCCAAACATGTATAAGTCCTTGAGTTTGTATCTAGAGAGCCACAGGGATTAGGATAGAATCTCATGTAGCCTCGATCGTATCCATATCCATTGAACCCAGTACTTCATGCTGCTAGGTCAATAATCAACTAACTGAGCTAGGTACCCACCCTCTATTTTGAAAGAAGGTCTTGTGTAGCCCAGGTTGGCATCAAACTTACTGTGTAGCCAAAGATGACCTTGAATTCCTGATCCACCTGCCTCCATCTCTCCCAAGTGCCAGGATTACAGGCATGCATCACCATATCCTACAAAACTGTGAATCTTTCTGAAGATGCCTGTATGATACACATTAGTTACCAATAGTCTTCCTGTATGGACTGCAGAGAAAGCTAGGGTCCTCAAGGTGACTCGTCTCAAAAAGTCACCAACTTTTGGTTCCGTATTTTAAAAAGTGTATGTGTATGTATATGCATATAAACACACGTGTGTAAGGTACATGTGAATATGTGTGTGTGTGTGTGTGTGTGTGTGTGTGTGTGTGTGTGTGTGTGGTGCGTGCAGGTGCTGGAGAAAGCTTTCAGTGTCTGCTCTCTCACTTTCTGCCTTACTCCCTTGGAACAGAGTCTGTCACCGCATCTGAAGCTTACTATTTCAGCTAGGCTAGAGGCCACTTTGCTCCTGGAATCTGCCTGTCTCTGACCCAGCAGTGCTGGGTTACAAGTATGCATGGTTGTGTCTAGCTTCTTCTGCATGGGTGTGGAGGAGTCAAACTTAGGTTCTTCTGCTTGTGCAGAAAATGCTCACCCACCAGTCATCTCCATGAGTGACTGTGCAGAACTGGGGGTGGGCCTGGCCTCGAACACACTAAACAAGTATCCTACCCCTGAGCTGCACTCCTAGGCTTCACTGGTTTTTGTTTTGTTTTTAATTTAAAATCCCAGCAATGAGATGGTAGTGCACACCATCACTCAGGAGGCAGAAGCAGGCCAATCGCTATGAGTTTGAGGCCAGCCTGGTCTACAGAGTGAGTTCCAGGATTGCCAGGGCTACACACAAACCTTGTCTTGAAAAACAAAACAAAGTCTCAAGCTAGGTATGCTGGCACATACCTTTAATCCTAGTATTGTGAGTTCCAGGCCAGCCAAGGCTATATAGAAAGACCCTGTCTCAAAAAAAATTCTCATAGGGAATGGCTGGAGAGATGACTCAGTGGTCAAGAGAGTTTAGTGCTCTATCAAAAGAGTGCAGTTCAAATCCCAGCATCTATGTCAGGTGGCTCACAAACACCTTTGACTCCACCTTCAAGTGATCTGGCCTCCATGAGCATCTGCACACACACACACACATACACACACACACACACACACACACACACACACACACACAGTTCCCTCTAATGTCTGTTTCTGTTGGGACCATTCGAGTGGGACCTAAGTGACTCTAGCCCCTCCTCTGTAACCTTCTGAAGACCTTCTAACCTTCTAGACTTAGCCCTGCTTTCTCTGTTAAGCTTCAAGGAGTGGAGAGGGTCATTCTAGCCCACAAATGTCTGCAATATCAACTTTCTAATGTTTTTATTGTCATATCATACATAACTGATTTCATTGTATTCCATTCCTGTGTATATAACATATTTTAATCATGTTCACTCTCATTAGCCTTTCTTGTCCTCCTGTCCTAAGGACCCCTTTCCTCTTCCCAACTGGTGTGTGTGCCCCGATTAGGATTACTTATGGAAGGAAATGTCTCCACTCCAAGAACTCCCAGCTTGCCTGCAGCCCCTCAGGAGGGAGAAGTGGCTCTCCGTTCATCCCTCTTCCCCTCCTTCCAGACAAGATAACGTCTCTTTCTCCCATCTTTCCTTTCTGTGTGCAGGGTAGAATCCAAGGCCCTGGCATGCAAGCGAGGACCCCACTGCCAAGCTGCACTCTGAGTCCCTGCCTCGGGTTCTTTTACATACAGACAAGCCATTTCATACCTGTCCAGTAAGGTGAGTGCTTCTGACCCTTCTTTATCAACTGAGACACCAAAGCACTTGTCAAAAAGACACCCTCTGGCCTTAGTTCTGACCCCAGGTTTCATTTCTGCTTCCTCTGTTAATAACGGACATTACTGGGGCTGGAGAGATGGCTCAACAGTTAAGAGCACTGGCTGCTCTTCCTGTTCTTCCAGAGGACCCAGATTCAACTCCCAGCACCCACATGGCAGCTCACAACTGTCTGTAACTCCAGCTCCAGGGGATCTAGAATCCTCACACAGCCATGCAGGCAGAACACCAATGCACATAAAATATTTTTAAAAAATGGACTTTACTGGCCAGAAGTGACAGTATATGCCTTGAATCCTGGAACTGTGCAGGTGAAGACTGGAGAATCATGAGTTCAAGACCAGTCTTGGCTACAATGAGACTCCAGCTTAAAAGGGGGCTCTTAACTGGGGGTTTAATATTCTTGTGCCTCAGGCATGTATTAATTCTTTATTTTCCTTGTTTAAAAAAAGGAAGGAAAGGAAAAGAGAGAGAAGAAGAAAAAGAAAAAAGAGAAGGAGGGAAAAGGGAGGGCCTGGAGATGTCTGCAGTTAAAAACACTGGCTGCTTTTCTAGAAGACTCAACATTCAATTCCCGGCACTCACATGGCCACTCTCAACTGTCTAACTCCAGTTCCAGAGAATCCAACCGCCTTTTCTGGCTTCCTCACGCACCAGGCATGCTTGTGGTATACAACAGACATACAGGCAAAGCACCCTACACATAAGTTTTTGAAAACTTAAAAAACAAAAATAAAATGACAGCCAGCCATGATGGCATACATATGTAATTCTAGCATTCAAGTAAGGCAGGAGAACCACCAGTGAAGGCCAGCCTGGACCAGATAGCATGATCCTGCCTCAACAGAAGAAAAGAAATACAATAATGGACACCCACACACATATAATTGGGTGCTTTGCAGGTATAGTGTGATTTTGGTAGTTGCCTCTTCTTTCTTTGGAAACCAGGGACTAAATTACATGCCTCAGTATCCCTAGGCCAATCAGATATTGAATTCACAGTAGTGCCCTCTCTCCACTTTTAGTTAAATAATGAAGTGTCATCCACTGCCCCCCCCCATGCCATCTGCACCATCTGGCCAGCTGCTTCCAGGAAGCACTTGGGAGTGTGGCTCCAGGGAAAACACTTCTCTAGTGTTTGCAAGGCCGTGGGTTCCAGTGCACAGAAGAAGAAGTCTCAGATGAGCATGAGTGGGGATGTTGGAGATGCAAATTAGACACCGGAAACAGGACTGGGGGAGGGGGAAGGGGCACAAGGGCATGGGCAGGATCACCACCCGGGAAGGGGCGGGGTGAGCTTACTTCTTGAAGTTTGGTGGGGGCAGAATATTGCCTTGGGCATCGAGCGGAGGGGCCCTCAGTTCACTCCTCAACTTGAGTTTCTCCACCTCCTTCAGCTCTCTCACTGCTCTCACCATCACTTGCTTCTTCCTGTTATTGTCCTTGAAGATGGGGGTAGCACTGATGAAGGTCAGGAAGCTGTGTGGACCCATCCAGGAGGGCGGAGGGATGGCAGGTTGTGCAACCGGGAGACGGTGGGCATTGAAATGAGTCAAGCAGCGCCAGACGTTGCTGTCATAGGCTATGTCTGGCCTGGTGGGGAAGGTGGCAGGCAAGCGTCCCACATCGAGCCATGTGTGAAAGCCCCAGGTGTGCTGGGCTGCATCCTTCCAAGGATAGAGTACCTGGTGACGAACCTTGGACTTGCAATCTGTGTGTGGTGGCCTCTTCAGAGCCAACTTGTGGTAGGCTTGCTGGGTGAAGCCTGGCAAGTCTGCGACCTCTTTGGGGAGGAGGAACTCACGCTGGGTCCAAGTCTGGTAGGTGGGGAAGGGTTCTCTGGCATGGACCATCTAGGAAGACACAAAAGGGAGTCTAGAATGGCTGTGCTAGCAGAGGGCCAGGTGCTGAAGACATGCTCTGCTCTCCTTCCTGGGCACAAGCTGCCAGCCTCCAACCCAGGACTCATCCCCATGTAGATGGCCTCCACAAGTAGACATTCCTCCATTCCCACTGTCATCGGGGTGTGTGTGTGTGTGTGTGTGTGTGTGTGTGTGTGTGTGTACAGTCATGTAGGTGCAGGTGAACATGTGTGTGTGTGTGAAGTCAGGAGACAACCTTGGTTATTGTTCATCTTGTTTTTTTGGTTTTTTTTTTGGTTTTTGGAGACAGGGTTTCTCTGTGGCTTTGGAGGCTGTCCTGGAACTCACTTGGTAGTCCAGGCTGGTCTCGAACTCACAGAGATCCGCCTGCCTCTGCCTCCCGAGTGCTGGGATTAAAGGTGTGTGCCACCAACGCCCGGCTTATTTTGGTTTTTGAGATGGTATCTCTCACTGGTCTAGGAATTATTGGTCTGGCTACACTACACTGTCCACCAGCCATCAAGCCTCAAGAATCCACCTCTCTCCACCATAACCCCCAGCCCTTGGATTTTATGTGTGTTACCTTTTAAAACTTTATTGCCTGAAAAATATTTTTATGAGTGTTTTGCCTGCAAGTATATATGTGTACCAAGTGCGCTTGTTAATGTAGGAGGGCAGAATCCAGGGGTCCCAACAAAATTAAAGATGGTTATTCTGTCATGTAGGTGGGAATCTACCCTAGGTCCTCTGCTGGAGCAGCGAATGCTTTTAACTACTGAGTCATTTTTCTAGCCCTCTGCAAAAATTTATGTGAGTTCTCGGGACTGAACTCTGGTTGTCATGCTTGCATGGCAAGTACTTTACAACTGAGCAAGCTCTCTCAACATTGTCAGCTTGACAGACTATAGAATCACATAGAATGCAAGCCTCTGGATGCTCAAAATGGGTTGTCTATACTAGGTTAATTGAGTTGGGAAGAGGATGCTGATGCCACCGTCCAGCAGAAAGCAAGGTGAGTACTATTGTTCATCTTCCTGACTCCCGACAACACCTACCATGTCAGACTACAGACCTGACCTGTGAGCCACAATAGTCTTCCCTTAACCTTGTTTGTCAGGCATTTTTTTGTCAATTAGATTAGTAATTGCCCCAATCCAGAAATTACTGTACTCTCCTCTGTATCATTTCTACAGATTTATCAAATCTCATTCTTTTTCCAGTTATTACATTTTGGCTTTGATTTCACTCTCTGTCAACTTCTATTCTTTTAAATATTATTTATACACACATATTTGTATCTTGAGTTTAAAATTCCTTTTTTTTTTTTTTTTTTTTTTTTTGAGACAAGTTTCTCTATAGCTTTGGAGCCTGTCCTGGAACTTACTCTGTAGACCAGGCTGGCCTCAAGCTCACAGATATCTATCCTCCTCCCTCTGCCTCCTGAGTGTTGGGATTAAAGGCTTGCGCTGCCACCACCCAGCAATTTTTATCTTTTTTTTTTTTTTTTTTTTTTTTTGCGCATACAGCCTTCTGCCTGCAGCAGAAGGTACCAGATCTCAATCAAGATGGTTGTGAGCCACCATGTGGTTGCCGGGGGAATTGAACTCAGGACCTCTGGAAGAACAGTCAGTGCTCTTAACTGCTGAGCCATCTCTCCAGCCTACAATTTTTATCTTTTAAAAATGTTATGCAGCTGGGTGTCCTGCCTATGTGTATGCCTGTGCACAACACACACCTGGTGTCAAAGGCGACCAGGAGAGGACATCGGACGCCCTGCGACTGGAGTTAGAGATGCTGTGAGCCACCACGTAGGTGCTGAGAGCCTGGGTCCTCTGGAAGAGCAACCAGCACTCTTAAATGCCAAGCATCTCTCTAGGCCCTACTTGCACTTACATGTTATTTAGTGTGTGTGTGTGTGTGTGTGTGTGTGTGTGTGTGTGTGTGTGTTATAGTGAGTGTGAAAGTAAGTTCTCAGTTCTCTCCTTCCACTACAAGTTCTGAGAAACTGAACTTGGGTATCAGGTTTGGTGACACATGCCCTAACCCGGAGTTGTTTCACTGACCCCCAACTTTCTCACCACACTCCCCTCCATTCTGCTGTCCTCATCTGTATCCCTGCAGACACATCAGGCCTAGGGGGATGGCCCGAGCCCACCATTCTACAACATCCTTCCCATTGTTCCTGGTCCTGCTGACACTGCAGGAGGCCCCTAAAGGAGGGCCAAGTGGCCTTCCATTCCAGTCCTTGTCACTTTCCCTCATTCACATTGAAAGGCCAGTTGGCCTAGAAAGAGTTTGGAGTGTCCTTTCCTTTACCTTTTCTGTGTCTTCCCTCCACAAAAGAGTGCCCCCTCTCTTGCAACTCCAAGAGAAAATATCCAATTCTGCTATAGTTTGCCTAAGTGTCCCTCAAAGACTGGTGTAAAAGGCTTAGTTCCGGCCTGAGGACTGGCTCCGAGGTGGTGGAGCCTCGTGGAAGTTAGGCCCCTGGCAGCATGCTCTTAAGGGGGCAGTGGGACCCAGGCCCCTTTCCTGCCTCCCTGCTTCTGGGTGCCTGAGGTGAGCAGCCTGCTTTGTCATGCTCTTCCTCCATGAGTCGCCTCACAGGTCCAAAGCAGCAAGGCTGCACACAGAAGCTCTACTAGCAGTCCCAGGGAACCTTTCCTCTTTTAATTATATGTATTTTGCCACAGCAGTAGAAAACTGACTAAAACTGTTAAAGTCCCTATTTCAGCTGTAGAAAGACCCTATTACAGTAAAGAATTCACATGAGGTCTCAACTGAGTGGGACCATGTTCAACCTCAGTATACTTAGCTGTGTGAAACATGACTAAGAGCTTGTTCAGTCTGACCAGGGCAGAAATGTCTCTTTTAAAATGTTCCTTCCTCTCAGCAGTACTCAGCAGAAAAAAACAATGGAATCTTGAAATTTGCAGGCAAATGGATGGCACTAGAGGAAACCATCCTGAGTGAGGAAACCCAGACACAAAAAGACAAACATGGTACTTACTCACTCATATATGGATTTTAGACATGGATCAGGGGAGTGCCAGCCTACAATCCCAGTGCCAGTGAGTCTGGGAAACAGGGAGGTTCCCAAGAGAGATGCATGATACCCCAGAGAAGTGGAATGAGGCAAGATCTCCTGAGCAGATTGGGAACATCCGGAGAAGAGAGAGGGAACCAAGAAAAAGAGAGGAGGATAAGGGGAGGGGAGAAGAAGGCATGGGGGAGCAGGAAGGTTGAGTCGAGGTAAGAATAAAGGAGAGCAGGATGAGAGATACCATAATAGATGGAGTCATTATAGGCTTAAGAGAGCTGACACTAGTGAGATCTACAAGGATAACACCAACTGGCAAACTAAGCAATAGTAGAGAGACTATATTAAATGCCCCTCCTTGATGGTAAGGTTGATGACTTCCTTATATGCCATCCTAGAACCTTTATCCAGTGACTGATGGAAGCAGAGACAGATACCCACAGCTAAACACTGAACTGCACTCCTGGAACCCAGTGACAGATGGAGGAGTCATGAGCAAAGGGGTCAAGACCGTGATGGTGAAACCCACAAAGACAGCTGACCGGATAAAGGGGGTCTCTTGAATCCCAGACTGATGGCTGAGAGGCTGACAGGGGACTGATCCAGACTCCATGAATGCAGTCTCAGTAAGGAGGCCACAGAAATCACTGGGGCCTTGGGTAGTAGTTCAGTGTTTACCATGGTTTATGGATGATCTTTGGGAGCCCATTCCAAATAGAGGGATGCTCTCTCAGCCTGGACACATGGGGAAGGGCCTAGGTCCTGCCCTGGATGAAATGAGACTTTAGACATCCCCCCCAAGGAGGGCCTCACCCTCCCTGGGGAATGATGTGGGGATTGGGTGGGGGGCTGGTGGAGGGACAAGGGAGGAGGGGTGGGAGAGGGAGCTGGGATTGACATGTGAAGCATGCATGTTTCTAATTTAAATAAAAACATTACAAAAAAATGTTCCTTCCTCAGCCAGCCGTTGGTGGCGCACGCCTTTAATCCCAGCACTCGGGAGGCAGAGGCAGACGGATCTCTGTGAGTTCGAGGCCAGCCTGGTCTACAGAGCGAGTTCCAGAACAGCCTCCAAAACAATACAGAGAAACCTTGTCTCGAAAAACCAAAAAAAAAAAAAAAATGTTCCTTCCTCTCACCACTCTAGGGCTTCCCTCACTCCAAAACCTGACATTTCTTCAGCATCATCCCCTGAATCACTTTAAAATTAACATCTAGTGCATGCGTGCATACATGCACACGCCATAGCATACGCGCGAAGGCGAGGACGGTTCTAGAGATGGAACTCAGGCCGTCAGGCCGGTGTCCCAACCACACGAGCCATCCTGTTGGCTCACTTACATGCTTACCTTCTCCCCTTGGATTTTGTGATAAGAGCTTGTTTGTAGCCCTGGTGGACCAGGCTGATGAATGCTAATGACAGGCATGCCTCGCTGTACCTAGCTCCCTAAGTCTCTTCTACAAGAGTACCCCAGAGGAAAGGTCTGAGAACTAACACAAACATGCCTGTCTATCCCAGGCAGATCTCCACAGGTTTGACAATAACCTGGCCTAGGTGTGAATTTCAACCAGGGCTATATAGGGAGCTTCTGCCTCAAAAATAAATGAAGCCAAATAAACAAACCCAAACCTGGGCATAATGCCACATATCTATAATATCAGCCCTTGGAAAGTTGAGACAGGGTTACTGCAGGCTGATAGTATCAGGCTAGCCAGGACTACAAAACAAACACCCTGAAATCTGAAAATGCAAGATGCCTAATGCTGAAAAATCTTATTTCTTCCTGGACAAGGGCATGGTGTCACAAGCAGAAAGTTCCACATTTGACCTTTGCTATCAGTCTCAAATATCAGATATCCTAAAAATATTGCACACATCAAGTTACCCTCAAGTTATGTAGAAGATACATGTGAAACACAGAGGAATTTCATTGTAAGTTTTGGGTCCTTTTCCCAAGACTGTTTATGACTACACACACTCCAAAATCCAAAAATAAATCCCAAAGCTAACAATATTTCTGGTCCCAAGCTTCTTAGATAAGGCCTCTTTAACCTGCACTAGCCAGGCTCCTCCTCCTCCCTAAGCTCCAAACTCAGCAGACCACAGGGTGAAGGCAGAAGACAGTTTGTGTACGAGAGTCTGCTGCTCAGAACAACCTGAAAGGCTGGCACAGTTGGGCCCCACTCTACCTGCAGGAAAGGCTCTCTGACATGAGACACAGTGTTCATGCTTGGCCTTTGGAGGGGTCTTTCCCAGCTGCTGGCCATCCTTCCTCTGAGCTGCAGGGCAGGAGGGGAAGGCTTGGGGGACAGCCCTTTCTGGTACCATTGTTTGCTGCTAGGGTTGCTATGGTGATGATTCCTGACTAGTGTGGCTGGGGGGAGGCTCTTGCCTGTCCTGGGAGGCTCTTCAGTCCCTGATGCTGAGGTAGGGAGGGGGGAAGTGTTCTGTCAGATCTGGTTACCAGATGTAACAGGAGCTGCTTCTAGGAGAACCTTGCCTGGGAGGTTTGAGGAGGAAGCAGGCAGGTCTCAGGCTTGGGGCTGAGATAGAAGAGGTACTAACGAGACACCTGTAATGGGCCGAGTTTTGTGGCTGGAATGTTGAAGGGAATGGAGGACTACAAGTGCTTTTGTTACTTTCAGAATTAGCTGGGTGAGCATTGGTAGCACACACCTTTAATCCCAGCACTGGGGAGGCAAAGGCAGGTGGATCTCTGTGATTTTCAGGCCAGCCTGGTCTACAGAATCAGCTGGGGCCTAAGTCAGATTCTGTTCCCATGGAAACAAGGTCTGAGGTGGCAGGGAAGAGGTGGGCAGTATAGGAAACAAGAAAGTGACTTTATGGGAGACAGGATCTCACGTAGCCTGGACTGAATCCTCCTGCCTCTGCCTCAAAGGCTGAATGATAGGTATGAACCACAACAGCAGACAACACTGGCCATTTCTGAGTAGTAAAAGTGTGGGAGGAACATGTGTGAAAGCCTCGTCCGCCGTCTCCAGTCTCCACATCACCCCTCATTCAATCCTCGAGACCAGCAGTGCCACCCTGGGTTTTATTCAGTAGGTAGTTACAGTAGTGTCATTGTGTTAGCTCGTGTATTGGAGCCTAGGGCGGCTCTTTGCAAAGCTCAGGTGCAAGCTAAGGAAGCCAGGCAGTTCAGGGCCGCTTCCTTCTGCTCAGGCCTCAGCCTGAGCTCTCAATGCTAGACTCACTCTGGCATGTCTGGGACACTATCAGAAGAACACCTCACAGGACTCATGTGAGTACCCATCCCTACACCCAAACCCAACAAGCTTTTACACGGATTGCTTCTTGCAGGACCGCTGGCTTGGAAACATGGGGGTGTCAGGAAAGGACAGTAAGCGGATCCTGGTAAGCCGACCTGTATGTCTAGGTGCCCACAGCAGAACCCACAGTGTGGAAGAAACTGCACCGCAGGTCCCTCCCCCACAGGCCACAGCAGAAGCAAAGTGCAACCCCGTGTCACCCTACCCACCCCTGGTAGTCTCTAGATAATGACCTACGGAAATAAGCTTACATTTATAATTAGCGGACAGTGTGGGGAACTTACACCATTTACAAGGGTTATCCTGCCGGAGCAGTGGATGACTACCGGGCACTTACTGATCACTGCTTTGTCACGCCCACCCTTCAGTTACCAGCAGAGGGGAGGACTCAGACTCTCTGGGGGACCCTACCGCATGCATAGGTCCCAGCAGTGGCTTAGATGTGGCTATCATTTTGGCATAATTAGGTAAGGGGCCCATCTCGGCCCTTGCCTGCCGGCTTCCCTCTGAAAGCTGGGGGGACACTGAGCCGTGCACTAACCGGCCACACAAGTGCCAGGATAGTGGGTAGCTTGAGTGGCAAGGGCAAGGCCTGGCCTCTATCGCAGCTCAGGGATGAACTGAGACCAGTTGATGTTGTCGGGGCCTAGAGGGTCCTCCTCCAGGCCAGGGAAGCTGATGTCCAGAAGGATCTTACTGAGGCTGTCATTCATTGTGTCCAGGACCAGGCCTTCTGTGAGAGAACGGTTAGCTGAAAGGCTGGGGATCTGTGGCTCAGGGGAGCCTGGCTTGGGGGCCTCCAGATGTGGGGGCGGAGAGCTGCTAAAGGGGTCAGAGGCAAGGTCAAAGGGTTCTGAGTTGAGGAGTTCCCGGGGTGAGTCAAAAAGGGGAACACTTTTCAGAGGTGTGGTGTTCAGCTCCATCAGCCCCAGGGAGTCAGGCAAGGGGCCAAAGGTGCCCTGGGGGGTTCGTACTGGGCTGAAATCCAAGCCCCCAGCTTTGGCTGGGGGTGTGAGCCTCCAGGCCTCAGGGGTTCTGGAGAGCACAGACTTGCTAGGAGTGGAAGAGATGGGCAGTGTCTCCTTGACGGGGGTCTTGAAGGGTCCTCCCTCCTCCTGAGGGCAACTGAGCTGGGAAGCAGGCTCTGAAGACTCTGCCAGGAGTAGGGGCTCCATGGCTGGTCGCAATGTGCTGGGGTCCTCTGAGAAGAGCAGTTCAGGCTCATCTAGACAGGGGGACCGAAGGTGCTGTTTCCTCCGAGAGCGGCTCACCTCCCGCTTCTCTCTTCGCTTAGTCACCAGCATTTCTGAGACACGCCGGGTTGGGGACTTGAGCCCACAATATGAGGACTTCTTGGGCTTTGGGGTGGGAGAGCAGGAAGAATCTTCCCAGGAGTTGGATAGTTCCTCTTTCAGTGACGCACACGGCGAGGGCCACTCTTCCAAGGGAGGGCTCTCCACTTTGATAGGCCTCTCTAAGTGTGCCAAGTCTTCCCCAGGCTGGAGTTCTTCCTCCTTAATGGACTGAATGGGAAGCAAAGGCAACAGCCCTTCCTCAAGCAGGGGCTTCTCCTCCTCCACTGGTCCTGCAGCAGGAAGCGGGGCTACCCCTTCATTGGCTAGCAGGACCTTGGGTGCAATTCGGACTCGCTTGCTATGACGGGCAAGCTCTGAGCTCATAAGTGAAGCCGCCAGAGGCAATGGCACCTTCACTGAGGGCTGTAACACCAGAGACTGGTTCACTGGGAACTGGATGGGCACCAGGTAGGAGTTGACCCGTGGGAGTAGCGGCTTCATCTTTCGTCCTAGGAGCAAGCAGGAGAGATCAGAGGTAGCAAAGCTAGGGCCACTCCTTCCCACTCCAGGAGCTCTGCTCAACTATGGGCTCAGATCTGAGTTGGAGACAGCCTGAAGATAGGCCCCTGAACAGGATTGGGCCGGTCTGAGGCCTGCTCTCATACTCACGTGCGCCCAGTGGGAGTTCAGTTTTGATGGTCACATTTCTACGGAGCTCAGGATTGGGTCGTTTCTGCTGCTGCTTACGGGGAGAGAAAGAAACCTGGGCTAGTAAGGTAAGGGAAGACAGCAGAACCCCACCAACGTGAGCTGACGCCATTGGCCTGACCAACAACCCAGAAAGAAAAAGCTAGTTTGAATCATGGATGAGGTAGGTGCAATCTGTCAAGCCATGCTAGGGGAAAAGCAAGAGACATTATGAGGATAGGACAGTGTGACACCTTACCCATGGTCCTCACCACCCCCAGGGAATGCCACGGCTATCGGAGAGACAAAGAAAAGGCAGGCTGAGAGGACAGGCTGCTGCTGTTGCCTACAAGGCCCATGCCATGCACTTGTCCTGCAGTGGCAGGTCCTGCAGTGCCCACATTGCTCTGCTCAGCACACCTTTGTGGTGCTGTGTTTCGGGCTAGCAGCTGTGGGGCCAAACATAGTCCCCTCCCCACATCACAGCTTCTCTGCCCACTAAAGCCATGCTGAGCAGTGAAGGGAAGTAAGGCCAAGCCCCGAGCCAGAGGAAAAGAATCTTACTGATTCCAAGTGCTCGGGCGATTGTGGAGACCCTGGTTCCAGTGGCTGGTGGCGGCCAGGCATCGAGGGAGAGAAATGAGATGAAGTTACCACCAGTGTGGTCAATCTACCCAGACTAGGAAGAAACCTATTTGATGGGTGCCAAGGGACACCGTGGATAATAGTCCCTTCCAGAAGAGCACAGCAATAGCCTCCTTATGGGTACTCAGAGTCCCCCAAACAATTTTTTTTTCTGAAAACATGTTCTTGTGGCTCCATTTCTGATCTCTAGATTTAAAGAAGGGTTTCTTTGGAGCAAGACTGGAAATACAAACTACAGGGCTGGAGAGATTGCTTAGTGGGTAAGACAGCTTGCTGTATAAACATTAGGATCTGAGTTCAAATCCAAACACCTACATTAAAAAATAAAATAAGCCAGGGGTAGCCATGAGTGTGCTTATAACCCCAGCACTACGAGGGGTGGGAGTGGAGATGGGCGGATCGATGGGGTTTGCTGACAATCAGCATAGCTCCAGTTTCAATGAGACCCCATCCCCAGTGGTGAAACAGGACTCCTAGTGTCCTCCTCTGGCCTCTACACACGCCCCCTCCCTTCCATTACTAAGCCCATCCCAGATTCACTGATGAGAACCCCAAGTTAGAAACCTGAAAACTGTATTGCAACAACTGTCCACTTACTGGGGAGTCAGAGAAAGACTTCTCTATTTTAGACCAGAACAGTTCTCTTTGTGCTCTGGTCTAGGGCAAAGGAGTGTCACTGAGCATCTGTCGCCTGAGTTCAGGGCATTATGCAAGTCATTAACTGGCTGACTGGCTTCTACTTCTCAACCAGAGAACATCAGAAGGAACACCACTCTTTCCAGAAGACTCTATAACCAACAACTCTGCCTCTCTAGAGGAAACAGGGACACTCACCTTAAACACTTGGTCCAACGTCAAGTAGCGATTGGCACTGGGGTGGATGGTCCAGAAAGAGACCTTGCCATTGGCAGATGTCTCCCGAACAAACATGTCGTGAAGAGAAAGGTTGTGACGAATAGAGTTCTGAAAGAGACACACAGGCAGTTAGCAGCTTGGTTAGCTTGGGAAACATCACCCTGGAGTGAGCTGGGAAAGGCACGGAGTCTCCTGTATATTGAGGTCCTTGTAATCTCACCTGTCAGAACCTGCCACACTGCAGAGCGAACCCTAGCCACAAGCCCCAGGGGATCAAAGCGATCCAGCCATCTCCAGGCTCCTAGGTCTTACTGGAGCGTCCCCCTCTGCTCCTGCTCTCTATCCCAGTGCAGGCCTGAACAGGAACTTTACACCTGCAACTTCCGCCGCATCACTGGAGCGGAAACATGAAGACAGGCTAAGCCCAGCAGCCGAGAACCCTGTGTTTTCCAGAAGTGTATCAAGCCCTTTGGCATCTGGAAAAATGAGAAGACTACTGTCCACTGCACAGTCCCCAGAGAAATACAGAGGGTGCAGGAGCAGTGGCAGGAAAAAAAGCATCTCTATGCCTGGACCCCGTGGTGCACACTCATGTTCCCAGTGCTTAGGAAGACGAGGAAGAAAGATGAGTTCAAAGCTAGGCTGGGCTACCCAGCAAGATCCTATCTCAGAGACTGGAAATTTTGTTTTTGGAGAACCAGGAACATGCCAATGTGAGGATCAAATACCACTGAAGTGTTTCTGCCCATGGCCAGGTGTCAGGTAGCCCAGGTATCAGAACTGTAGACAGAACTCAGGACAGGCTACAGAGAAGACATGAGGTCATATGCAGGAGTCAGATGTCATTGTTCCTGGCAAATCCCACTTCAAATCCAGGCTCTGTGCATGTGGCTAAGCACTCTGCCACTGAGCTACATCTCCAGCCCGACAAATCCCATTTCTACCCGATGCAATATAAGGGCTGAAAAGTGGGTAAAGGTACCTGCTGCCAAGCCTGAGCCCAAGCCCAGAACTCACATTGAGAAACTACTCTAACAAACTGTCCTCCGACTTTCTGACCCAGATTCCCAGGCATCTGTCTCAGAGCCCCAATGTATGAGATGAAAAATAAGACAAAGGATCGGTGAGGTAGCTAA